GCACAAAGCGAGAGACAGCAAAACTAGAGAGAAGCTGGCGTCAAATTGTACCCAGCTGCCCCTGCCGTGCTAACACGCTAAACAGATTTGAAGGACTCTTCCTCCACAGGGCCCAGGGGACAGCCATGTCAAGCGGCTACGATGCCATCAACAGAAAAAGAGAGGCTGGTCTATTTCCAGAGCTATTTGGAGCAGCCTTAGTTTGTCCTAATGTCGTTCCCATGGGTTCCCCCATCAATTCCAGGCAACAGACTGTCTCTATGGCAATAATCCTCAGTGACCGTTCAACTGTATTAAACAGACACCTTCTGGGCTTCTGGAAGAGACCCACAACTGCATTTGTAGGAAGCTGTGCTTAAAAGCATTAGAAGCCAGTGCTCTGAAGAGCAGCAGTTAATGCACCCATATGGAGGTACGTACACTGCACCAGTTCATTTCCTAAAGCAGAGTGATACAAACTAAAGGCCCTCCACCCCCTCCATTTCATCTGGCCCACCAGCTCCCTCCATAACCCGTAAATGTTATGTTACTGGAAGGGAACTACAAAAATATTCCTTATTAAAAATAATAATCTTTGCATTTGATATAGTACCTTTTCAGGTCTTCGAGATGTCTCAAAGCGCTTCACAGAATATACTCAAAGTGAATTGATTGTACATTTAATGGTTGAAAATATAAGACTGCATATCTTCTGGGGTCCACAGACGTTTATCAAATAGGGCTGGCCCTCAGCAGCCAAAAGGTTGGACAGCATACGAAGCCAACACACTACTGCAGTACTGAGGGAGCGCTGCATATTTGGAGGTGCCATGCTTTGGATGAGACAATAAACTAAGGTCTCATCTATCTGTTTAAGTGGACACTAATCCAGCATTGTAAACGATTCAACTGGACACTCACTTATTGGTTGCTTGAGGGACTTTGATGCATCCAACTTATCTGCCATGTCAACAAACAATCACTGCACTCAATGGCAATTACCATTACCAGTGATTTGGGATGACCTCCAGACATGAAAGGCACTATACAAACGTAATTTGTTGTTGTTGTTGAAGCACTTTAAAGCATTTCAAAAACAATTCGAGCTTTTTTTAAACGTGGAGGCATTTCAACCGTACAAATATAAGGATTATTAGAATTACCAGCTATTTCTTTAGAGGAAGCATGACAAGAGGCCAGCCCCTCTACAGATTGATGCGGTATTGGGAGACAGCTGGATAGGTATTCTGGAAGAGTGGAATCAAATCGGCCATCTTCATCCAAACCAGGTGTTAGCCTGACTCAGTTGGTAACTTGCACCCCTTGTGATTCAGAAGGTTGTGGATTTAAGCCCATTGACCACACCACCGCCGCGCAGTGCCGAGGGGAGGCTGACACCGCCGCGCAGTGCCGAGGGGAGGCTGACACCGCCGCGCAGTGCCGAGGGGAGGCTGACACCGCCGCGCAGTGCCGAGGGGAGGCTGACACCGCCGCGCAGTGCCGAGGGGAGGCTGACACCGCCGCGCAGTGCCGAGGGGAGGCTGACACCGCCGCGCAGTGCCGAGGGGAGGCTGACACTGTAATGCAGTGCCGAGGGGAGGCTGACACTGTAATGCAGTGCCGAGGGGAGGCTGACACTGTAATGCAGTGCCGAGGGGAGGCTGACACTGTAATGCAGTGCCGAGGGGAGGCTGACACTGTAATGCAGTGCCGAGGGGAGGCTGACACTGTAATGCAGTGCCGAGGGGAGGCTGACACTGTAATGCAGTGCCGAGGGGAGGCTGACACTGTAATGCAGTGCCGAGGGGAGGCTGACACTGTAATGCAGTGCCGAGGGGAGGCTGACACGGTAATGCAGTGCCGAGGGAGGCTGACACTGTAATGCAGTGCCGAGGGGAGGCTGACACTGTAATGCAGTGCCGAGGGGAGGCTGACACTGTAATGCAGTGCCGAGGACACTGTAATGCAGTGCCGAGGGGAGGCTGACACTGTAATGCAGTGCCGAGGGGAGGCTGACACTGTAATGCAGTGCCGAGGGGAGGCTGACACTGTAATGCAGTGCCGAGGGGAGGCTGACTCTGTAATGCAGTGCCGAGGGGAGGCTGACTCTGTAATGCAGTGCCGAGGGGAGGCTGACTCTGTAATGCAGTGCCGAGGGGAGGCTGACTCTGTAATGCAGTGCCGAGGGGAGGCTGACACTGTAATGCAGTGCCGAGGGGAGGCTGACACTGTAATGCAGTGCCGAGGGGAGGCTGACACTGTAATGCAGTGCCGAGGGGAGGCTGACACTGTAATGCAGTGCCGAGGGGAGGCTGACACTGTAATGCAGTGCCGAGGGGAGGCTGACACTGTAATGCAGTGCCGAGGGGAGGCTGACACTGTAATGCAGTGCCGAGGGGAGGCTGACACTGTAATGCAGTGCCGAGGGGAGGCTGACACTGTAATGCAGTGCCGAGGGGAGGCTGACACTGTAATGCAGTGCCGAGGGGAGGCTGACACTGTAATGCAGTGCCGAGGGGAGGCTGACACTGTAATGCAGTGCCGAGGGGAGGCTGACTCTGTAATGCAGTGCTGAGGGAAGGCTGACTCTGTAATGCAGTGCTGGGAAGGCGAAAAGGCTGTCCTTTGGATTAGATGTTAAACAACAACATACATTTGTATAGTTCCAAAGCACTGGACCAAGTTCCCATCTGCATCTCTTCAATTGATCTTAAAGATCCCTTGGTACTGTTCGAAAAGAAGAATTTCTTCCAAAGCCCTGGCCAACAATCCCCCAGAGACGATTAGCCGTTCGCTTCACGGCAGCGTGCGGAACATTGCTCCGTGCAAACGGTTGCTGGGCTCACCTACAAATAGTCATTATACTGCACAATCATTCCTGCGAAGTACTTTAAGACACCGACGTAATAAGGCTTTATAAAAATGGGAGGATTTATTACCAGTATTATTTACAGCAACTCAAGGAAGAATTCAATCCAGAGGTATTAGGTGTGGACTTGAGGACTGATTATGTTAAGGTTTAGACATAAGTACTCAATTGTTACACTTTGCCGGAATCTCAGCTATTTCTACTGAAAGAATTCCACCTCCATTTACTGTACGAGTTGCGCACCTTTGAGCCAACAATGCCATCTAGTGGCACCGCTAAATTTCACCCCGTGCAATATTTAACTGAATCAATTGTGCTCAATTGCATTTCCGGCGTTCAAAACCTCTTGGTACAAACCCCAAGCCACCCCCTTACTTCACCCAACAGCTGCCTATTCTGCTCAACCCCACTCGAGGCAAAATACACAGTCGCTCCACTTTACAACATGTTCTGCAAAGCGCTTTGAGACGGCTTGATGACACGACAAGGCGCTATATCAAACACAAGGGTTATGATTATATAAATGTCCCGTCAGTCAGCCCATTTCAAGCTAAGCAGATCCACACAATGAAGACTAGAAGGTTTGGTTGAAGCAGAAAGCATCAACACATTTAAGAGCAAACTTGAATACATGAGGGAGAAGGGAATAGATCGCCTATGAAAGTAAAATTTGCATTTTTATAACGCTTTTCCAGGCAAAACACCTCAAAGCACTTCACTGAAATCGTTGTCAAACTGTTTCTGCAGGCCAGGAGGGTGCAACCATTTCGCTGCTGAGGTCCCGATGCCCTATTGTAAGAAATACCCTTGTTCACAGCAAGGTCCCACAAACAGCCATTGGGTGAATAACCAGTCAATCTGTATGGCTGGCCACATCATCGGGAGACTCAACCTTCCCCTTCCCAACAGGACGGGGAATAGTCACGGGATTCTCAGTGTTCACGTGGATGAGCAAACAGAACCTCAATTTAACAATAACAACTTGCATTTATCGAGAGCCCCCTGTGGAGGGTATTGTCTCAGGGACCACCTTTTACCTGAAGCACCCTCAGAGGTTTGAAGGGCATTGAACTGAAATAGGAGAGAGTTCAAAAGCAGTGGAAAATTCCTTAATTGTTTTAATTTGGAAGCCTGTTCTTAAACTAACTGAGAAAACAACCCCCAAGGTAAGAATTTTCAATATGATCCAAAATTTTAACACATTGGTCTTACAAAGGTAATCCAAAACTCTGCCGCCCGCATTCTCACCCGCACCAAACTACAATTCCCGATTATCAGTCCTTGGTACTGGCTGCCTGTCCCAGAGAGGATCGATTTCAAGATCCTCACCCTTGTATTCAAATCCCTGCACTCCTCTGCACCCTCCGACCTCTCTGACCTCCTCTCTCCTCAAAACAGTACTCGTTGCCTTCGATCCTCCGGGTCTGGCCTCCTCCGCGCCCCCCGAGTCCTCCGCTCCACCCTCGGCGGCGGTGCCTTCAGCCACCATGCCCCGAGGCTCTGGAACTCCCTTCCTCACTCCCTTCACCTTGACTCCTCTCTTCCTATTTTCAGGTCCCTTCTGACGACATTTCTTTTCGACCGCCTTTGGTCACCTTCCTCCCCCTCCCCTTGGCTCGGCCCCGGGATCCGTTACTGTGAAGCTCTGAGACGCCGTCCGGCGTGGAGGGCACTATATAAATCCAAGTAGTTGTAGCTGCTGCTGTTGTAAGACCATCAAGATATCAAGCTCTCTGCAATCAGGCAGCCCACTCAGAGACTAAATCTTAATAATACTTGCATTTGATACAGCGCTTTATCATGTCTTTGACACGTCTCAAAGCGCTTCACAGAATATACAGCAAAGTGAATTGACTGTATATTTTGTGGACGAAATGCGGCAGCCAATTGGGCACAGCAGCGTCCCACACGCAGTCATGGATTGAGTGACCAAATATTAATAATTTTTTTGAAGGGATTTTTTTCCCCCAGAAAAGCCAACCGGGTTCCTGTTTACTGCTTGGTAAACAGAGGCGTGTGGAGTAAGAAAACTTGCCTAATGTTTTGCCCTGCCCGGGAACTGAACCCAGGTCCTCTCGTTTGTGAGGCGAATGCTCTAACCACTAAGGTACAGGACTCTAAAGCGCATACTAAGCCAAGTATCATCCCGTACCTTGGCTACAAAGTGCTTGTCCTTCTGGTCCATGTTAGCTGTCGGTGCCACATAATCCTTCCAGATTCGGACTTTGCGTTCCTTGGCAGATCTGTTGAGAAAAGAAGCATTCTGAATACCAGGGAACGGGTAACAGAGTCACAGTGCAGGTCTGCTCTCTCACATTAGCAGCCCAGGAAACCACAGCTCATGTACTGGACGTCCATCTAACGCTCACAATCCATCGACAGTAAACATCAAAGGCACCTGAACAACCTTCAGAATCTATTTTAAAGCCTGTGTACACCAGAGGATTCTTATACTATGCAACAGGTGGTTCCAGCATCTTGAGCGATTACAGGTAATGTGACGTACAAATGCACCAAGAGCGTAAAGGGAGTGGGCCATCAGGGGTTTGCCTGATGCAACCAGGTAAATTAATGTGCACTTATAACAATAATAATTATTGTCGTCTTCAAGACACCTCAAAGCACTTCACAGAATATACTATAAAGTGAACTGACTGTATATTTTGCGGGCAAAATATGGCAGCCGCTGGCGCACTGCAGTGTCCCATAAACAGTTGCGGTTTGAGCTTGTGGAACATGACTGTGTGCAAATTAGCTGCCTCAATCGTCTACAAAATACAGTTACTACACTGTACAGTGAATCGTGTGAAGTGCTTTGAGATGTCTTCCTGACGTGAAAGGTGCTGTACCTAATGTAGATTATTTCCCATTCACTTTGTGTATTACCGAGCCTGTGGACCAGGTGTCGAGAGGAAAGCTCATTCCTGCTGAATCCCATTTTGCAAGATAACAACAACAAATTACATTTATATAGCGTCTTCCACTTCGGGAGGACATCCCAAGGTGCTGAAAAAGGCTCAAACAAATGTAGCAGACCCTGTTTTGGGTATATTGGCCCTACAGACTTTACTTTTACAACATCAAGCTGTTTTTCTCAACGCTGTGATGGGTGGATGGTAGGGTGAGGATCCTGGAAGGATGAGATCAAATAGGACAAATGTGCCTTCTGTATCCAAACCAATCTTGTGATCCTGTCCACTGCTGTCCCCTCCTGATAACCTCTTCCAGACTGATTTCCCCCTGTAGAAATCACTCAATCTTCACCATCCTCAGCACATATTACCCCTTCTCTCATAGAAATTACAGTGTAGGAGGCAGCTTTTCAGACTAAATATAAAATGAGCTCTAATCCTCCAGTTTCTACACGCACTTTTATGTTATAATAATAATCCTTGCATTTGATATAGCACCTTATCAAGATGTCTCAAAGCACTTCATAGAATATACTGTAAAACAAATTGTACATTTTGTGGGCAAAACGCAGCAGCCAATTGCGCACAGCAGTGTCCCACAAACACTTTTTCAAGGGATTATTACCCCTGGAAAAGTGATCCGCCAATCGACTAACAACCAGGTTCCTACTTATTGCTAAGAAAACTTGCCTAATTTGCCGCCCTAATCTCTTCCAGACCGATTTGTCCTACTTCCGGGAATTGAACTCTGGTTCTCTTGCTTACGAGGTGAGTGCTCTAACCACTATGCTACTGGACTCCATTCTTCTAATGTTTAGCTAATTCCCTTTTGGATATTATGGCCTTAGTCTCAACAGAGATTTGTGGAAATGTTCTAATAACCTTCAGAATAAAAAGGTTCCTTCTGACGTCTTCCTTGAAACAAACGTACAGGAAATAACTTTACTCTGAATGAATGTTTCAGGGTTCTGTGCTGTAGAGGATGAGCAGTGCAGTGGGCAGACAGGAAAGAGTGGAGTCAGTATCCATTTTACTACAGCAGTGGTGGGGTAAAGATATATAATAATTATACTTGCGTTTGATATTGCACTTTATCACATCTTCGAGAAGTCTCAAAGCGCATCACAGAATATACTGTAAAGTGAATTTACCGTATTTTTGTGGGCGAAACACGGCAGCCAATTGTGTACAGCACTGTCCCGCAAACAGTCATGGATTGAGTGACCAAGTTATTACTATTATTATTTTTTTACTCTGGAAAAGTGATCTACCAATCGGCTAACAACCAGGTTCCAACCAGGTCAATTAGCTCGCAGTACACAGGCGTGAGTGGAGTGAGGAAACTTGCCTAACGTTTCACTTTGCTCGGGAATTGAATCCAGGTCCTCTCGCTTGTGAGGCGAGTGCTCTAACCACTGAGCTACAGGACTTCAGTACAGTAAAAGTTTAGAAAAAAACTTCCTATTTTCCATCACAAGTCTCTGCAGAATAACGAGTGTGTTATTTCAGGACTCTCTTACAATAACGAGCTGCTGTTCAACGATGATTAAATCACAGAGCCATTCCTTAGAGAATTTCCCTGGAATCTCTTTCTCTCCCTCACCCCTCCCGCAGCGAGACTGTGCAAACTATAACCATCTCAGATGTCGCTTGGTCAGCTTTAAAGTCAGGGCAGGGAATTCCACAGGACGGCAAATGGCAAACCTCCCGAGCCTGCGGTGAGGCAGACTAAGTACAAGTTCTGGTAAGAGTCAATTTGCCAGAAACCCAACACTCAAAGTGGGGCCCATTGTGCAAGATGTGCAAACCATGTAAACACGCATCTGTGTTTCCCAAGTTGTAGCAGTCAGATGCACGGATTGAATTAATTATGCAATTAAAGAAATAGTCCTGTAGGGTAGTGGTTAGAGCGCTCACCTCGCAAGCGAGAGAACTTGGCTTCTATTCCCGGGTGGTGAGAAACCTTAGGTAAATTTCCTTATTCCATATGTCTCCGATTACCAAGCAGTAAATCGGCAGATTGCTTTCCAAGGGCAATAATCCCTCAAAAAAAAATTGGGATCTCTCAATCCACGACTGTTTGTGGGACACTGCTTTATGCAATTGGTTACCGCATTTCACCCACAAAATAGTTTTCAATCTATTTTGTGAAGCGCTTTGAGATGTCTCAACGACACGATGAGGCGCTAAAATGTAAGATTTATCATAATAAATGTAAGGATTATTATAGTATTAATCAGGGTTTATTGTTAATTACACCTATTACTTTCCTGAAGTACTGCTGAGTTGTTAAGCATCCAAACATGGTTGTGTACTAATGGAAGGGAGAGCACAAACATTTTCAGGAATTGTTCTTAAAACTAATGAAGGTGCCAAAGAATTAAAAGGGAGGACGCTGCACTGTGTAAAGGTGCATTCATCACGTTCAGGCTAGATTACGCTGACTCTCTGCTAACCAGACTACCTGCCTCTCCCCAGATGCAGGCTATCCCGAACTCTGCAGCTTGTGTCCTTTCCACATTACGCTGTGAACGGATCACCCCACTCCTCACCCGGCTCCACTGGCTCCCCATCCCACAATGGCTGAAGTTGAAGATCCTCGTCCTTGCTTTAAATCCTTTTACTTCTCGACCAACCGAACCTCTGTGACCTCAAACCCTACCAACCCACTCTGTTTCAAGGCCCTCTCCCCATCCACCCAATCATCAGTGGTCTGGCTTTCAGCATATCTGCCCTCACTCTCTGGAACTCCATCTCAGAGCCCCTTCACCTCGCCCCTTCCCTCCTTGATGGAGCCTTTGGGCATCTTCCCACTTATCCCCCTCGTCTCCACCCCAGGCTCAGTTACAAAGGTACAAACCCTGGCCTGGCCAGCTGTATCAGTGTAAATCTGTAGTGTATTGAAGGTGTTTACCTCTCACCAGCTCGAAGCTTTTCAGGCCCTTGGGTGTAAACAGCCATCGACCAATCCACACAGCGAGCAAACCCTTCGCGAAGCAGCAGCTCTGTGATGTTACCGTTCTGAGAGAAAAACAAAAAGAAAACAGCATTGACACACACCCCACAGCAACTGCTCACTCACACAGAGGCTTCAATGCGTTTCACAAATAATTGCTGTCAAGTGTAGTGACTGAGTTTGCAAAGAACTCCCAATCTGTCCAAACAGCCACAAGATGAATGAGCAATTGCTATGGAGGTCTTTAGGCAGAGCTTGAAGGAAGTGAGGGAAAGGGCTCTGGGATGGAGTTCAAGCTCTCTGGGACACTACCCTGTGTGAGTGGTGAGATATAAATGCAAGTTGTTGTTGTTGTACAGGACACCGAAAGAGCTCCCTTTTTTTCCTTCCATGAAGTCACAACAACAACAAAATTACATCTATAGAGCGCCTTTCAAAGCGCTGATCTTTCATTATCCACCTGAGCAGGCAGATAGGAACCTGGATACAACATCTCACTGGAAGGACGGCACCAAATTATTATTATTGGGATTATTACCACCGGAAAAACAATCTGCCAATCAACTAACTACTTACTACTAGGTAAACAGAGGCTTGTGGGGTAAGGAAACTGCCCAACGTTTCGCTCTACCCGGGAATCGAACTCAGGTCCTCTCACTTGCGAGGCGAGCGCTCCTAACTACTGAGCTGCAGGACCCGGATACAATGACACACAAGGAGCAGTAAGCACTCACTGGGTGAAGGATGGTGCCCAGAATAACCTGGTTCTGCACGCTCTCCAAAATGATCTGGACGTCTCTCTGTAGAAGGCGCGATTCGGTGAAAAACTTTGCTTCCGCTGCGAAGGGCTCCGGCGTTTCCACCCCATCAGCTTCACGCTTGAACGTTGGACACTGGGAGAGAAAAGGGAGAGAAAAAGACTCACACCAATGGACTTTATTGCCCCACAGCATGGACAGACAAGTGCTTTTTAATGATGAAAGCCCTCAGCGGCCTTGCTCCTCCCTACCTCTGTCACCTGTTAACCCCATACCAGGCTGTCCGATACTACAGCTCACACTGGACTGCTGCATGTTCCCTGTCCTGCCCCACCATCGGCGGTCTGGCCTTCAGCCTCTCTGTCCCCCATGCTTTGAAACTCAATCCCAGTCCCTTTGTCGCTCCCTCCATTCAACGCCCTCCTTTTTGACTGAATCTTCGGTCACCCTCCTACCCCTACCCTCCCAGCCCTCCACCCCTCCTAATCCCAACCCCCAGTTCGGGTGCAAATCCCTGACTGTCTAGCACCTTGGGACATCCTCCCAACATGAATGACGCTGTGAGAATACCATTTGTTGTCGTGGTCGTTGCTTCTTAGCCTCAAACTACCTGCATTGGCAAGGAATTGTGTACAGGGCTTAAAAGCATCATTTTTTCAATGTTTCTGTTCAACTGTTTGTCATTCAGAGGTCCCAAACTGGGACCCCTCAGCTACACACAAGGAGCTTTGAACATCAAAAGTACCTCTTGCCCTCCAACATACCTTAATACCAGAAAGCATCACAGTCACCAGGTAATAGTCAGGAAGTAGCAATGCTCGTACTACACTTCCATCTCGCACATGCTCAATAACCGCTGCAAGAAAAAAAAATGTTTAGAAAATTCAACAATTTTACAGCATAATAATCCTTCCATTTGATATAGCACCTTATCATGTCTTCGAGACGTCTCAAAACTCTTCATGTCCGAGCATTCAGTGTTCCAATAATATTGGTACCGTAAAAATAACATTGGTCAGCAAATGCAGCAGCCAATTTCAAAATGAAGTCTCCAGCAAAGCAACAAACTGATGCAGCTTGGGGGTGGGGGAGTGGTCTATCCATTGACTTGTACAACAGAAAGCTGTGACCCAGCCCACTCACCGTTGACAGGTTTCTGATGGTTAGAATCCACATAATGTCGGGGGTTCTCTATGGTGTATTTCAGATCTCGAATGGTTTGAGAGCCACCTCCATCTCCCCACATCCCTTTCTTGGCAGCCCTCGCTTGGTCCTCAAGTTCACACAGTCTGGCTTGTTCAGGGCTAAGAGAAAATGCCAGATATTTAGTACACTTAACAACTTGCATTTATGTAGCATCCTTCATTCAGGGTAGTGTCTCATGAGTGCTCTTGCTTTAATACTACTAATAATAATCCTTGCATTTGATATAGCGCCTTATCACGTCTCTGAGACGTCTCGAAGCGCTTCACAGAATATACTGTAAAGTAAATTGTCTGTATATTTTGTGGGCAAAACGTGGCAGCCAATTGTGCACAGCAGCGTCCCACAAACAGTCGTGGATCGAGTGGCCAAATTATTATTAGTCATTTATTTTTTGAAGTGATTATTACCTCTGGAAAAGCAATCCGCCAATCGATTAACTACTTACTGCTAAGTAAACAGAGGCGTGTGGATTAAGGAAACTTTGCTAACGTTTCGCCGTGGTTGGGAATCAAACCCAGAGAGCAAGAGGCTGGCAGGGAACTTCCAACACCAAGGTTGATTTCAGGAACTCGTAAAATCTCAAGACAGATGCATCCTGTCACTCTCGTGTTGCGTGTTGGTACTTCAAGACCATATGTTGCTTACACTAAACACTTTGACATTAAACTCACACACAACACAAAGTATCACATGCCATTAAACACTAACACTGTATAGCCAACAACCTCACAATCACTCCCATTTTATGCAGGCAAGTTAAACTGTGTGGGCGAAAACTTCTCACTAACGTTGTGTTTCTATTTTACGGAGCAACAAGGACCTGCCCTGTCTACCTGCACAGCAAGGTCCCAATGTAAACCATGTCACTGGACAGGACATCTCTCTACTGAAGCAATCACCAGGGAATGATGGTCAACCTTCTCACAATCACTAATGAAGCAACACTGGCAAGTGACTGAAACATCACCATGTCACCACTTGTCAGATCTGGAGAACTCGAGGCAAAGGAAAACTCCCCTTTTGTGACGAATTCCTATTCTATCCTTTTTTTTAAAATAAAAACATACAATAACAGCATGCATTTACACAGAACGCCTCATGCAGGTTAGCGTCCCAGAGCGCCTGAGTGGTAGAGCACAACACAGAGCCAGGGTAAGGAGAGGGGGGAGGTGATCGTAGGTACGGTCAAAGAACAGGTCTTCAGGCACGACCTGAATATGCGGAAGGAAGGGGCAAGGCAGAGAAATAGAGGGAAATTGTTCCAGAGTTTCGAGGCATGGCCTCCGAAGGTGGAAAGGAGAGCACGAGGGAAATGCAGGAGACCGGAGCCAGCCAAGCGGAGGCAGCGGGTTGGGGAGTAAGCATGTCGAAGAGGTAGAAAGGTGCCAGGACCTGAAGGGATTTGGAGACAAGTGTATATACAATAAAGTACTTACTTTGTTCCTCGAATTCCTTCTCGACGAACTGCAACCAATCCATCGCTTAAAAGGGATTCTGCAATGTTCTCCCCGGATGTATCTGGGGATTACCGAAAAGATAAGCTAGGATACATACTGGGTTAAACACCACATCTCTTTTCACTGTGAACTATTCAATGTGCAAATCAAGTCTTCAAAGCAACTACCCTTTTTTTTAATATAAAAAGATTTGTGCTCAGCATTGGAATATAAAAACAAAAAGGATAATTGCAGACCATCTGGCTGGACCCATTGGGAGTAAAAACAATATTTGGTCAAAACATTAAGATTTGCTTACAAATTAAAAAAACTAAGAATTTGTACTAAAAATTTGGTCACTCAATCCACGGCTGTTTGTGGGGACGCTGCTGTGTGCAATTGGCTGCCGCGTTTCGCCCACAAAATATAGTCAATTCACTTTACAGTATATTCTGTGAAACGCTTCGAGATGTCTCGAAGGCGTGATAAGGCGCTCTATCAAATAGATTATTATTATTATTGCACAATCTTGAATAATTGCAAATCAATTACCCTTAATAAACAAGTGTTAGAAGGCACATGGGAGCCAGTTACATACAAGGATTTACAGGCTGGAATTGCATTAAAGGATTCAGATAATTTATATAGCACATTAGATATCAGGAGTGAGTTATAGCCTGGAGATTAATCAATACACACAGGGTTTATATAACTCAATGGATACTCAGTACCAAGTTACAGGCCAGAATGTAATCAAGTGACCAAATTATTATTATTTATGTTTTGAAGGGATTATTACACTCAGAAAAGCGATCCACCAATCGACTAAGGTTCCTACTCGCTGCTAGATAACAGAGGAGTGTGGAGTAAGGAAACTCGCCCAACGTTTTGCCCTGCCCGGGAATGGAACCCAGGTCCTCTCGCTTGCGAGGCGAGTGCTCTGCCCACTGAGCTACAGGACTCCTGGTGAAGCGAAAAATCAAGTACTTCATAACTAAATTACAAAGCATAAGCCTATCTTTTTAATTGCTCTAGATCTTTCAAAATGAATACTATATTTCCCTTATGCATCTGCCTTCTCACACCAGATTTCATCCCGTCTCTAAGATGATAAAAAGGGAGGCGAGGTTCAGTTGATGCCTGCGCAAGGAACGCTCCACCTACCTTTGCCTAGGTACATCATTCCATATTCACGGCCCTGGGGAGTCTTGTACTCAACGGTAAAACACACCTCTTTGCCAATCAGTTTCTTCCTGAGGAACTCTCGAGCGGGCCAGGCCCACGGCTGCAGAAGAAGCACAACGTCCATCATCACACCGCGCATACAGAGGAGCAGAAAGCTGATGCGGCACTAGAATGCGGTGCAACTTTGATGGGTTTGCATCATAAGAAACTGCCCAAAATCTCGTCACTACAGCTAATGCAATGGTGACATTATGTCCTGCTGTGTAAACTTCAACCTGGAGCGGTTGGTAGCACTCATCTCTGAGTCAGAAGGTTGTGTGTTCAATGCTGAGACTTGGGCTCACAATCTAGGCTGACGCTCAAGTCTGTCTGACAACAACAAGCACTTATATAGTGCCCCTCACACAGGGCAGCGTCTCAGAGCACTTGACATGTAGGAAGCCGGAATCATTCAATGGAGGCAGCGGTCATACTATCCTTCAATTGAAGAGATGAAAAGTGAGGTCCAGTCTACTTTCTTTTTCCAGTAGACTCTAAAGATCTCATGGAATTACTGGAAGAGAAGGATTTTGGGCAACAAACTTCTATATTAATTCACCCCGTGGCTGTGTGTGGTGTATCCATCATGCAAAATGGCTGATATATTGGTCACAACACTTGACAGGAATGATTTTAGAAACCACTTAGAAACATTGATGTGATGAGCAAAAAAATGCAAGTTCTTCTTTTTAAGTCCAAAATAATAATCTTCCTCTGCATCTTGAAGACAAGAGTGGTAAGCACATATAAGATGAAAACAGCACTCCTTCCCTCAAGTAGCTTTGGATGTGGTTTGATGCGACACTGTTTCAGAAAGAAAGTCAGTGTAGACCACAAAAAAAAACCACAAAAGATCACTGTAGCAGCTTATCAAACTGCAATAGATGCAATGCATTGCGAAGCTTCACAGAACAAACACCTACTGACTACATATCAATTACAACTCCTGCTGTTCTGCAAATCATTAAACTGAATTAATAAAACTTTTTAGATACATTAATTTTACCTCTAATAACTATTAGATTTCATTTTTAAAACGTGGCGTGTTGCAGCATAATCAATCCCATGTTTGGGCATCAGCAACAACAGTGGGTGACTGAAACGGACAGCCCATCACTGTGAAAAAAAATTGGAGAAAAGGGGCTTATTGGATAGAAGAGGCTCCAATTCCATAATTTTCTCAAGACTTACACCACTCAAGTTGTGCATGCAGTGTAAAACTTCCTGGGTGGAGGAGCTCAAACGACAAGAGCCAATAAATCCTGGACTACACTGATAAACACACAATAAAAGCACAGATTACCACACACCACACCCACTCTTCATTGTACTAGAACACTTAAGATTTAGGAAGAAATTGGAATAAACATCACAGACGAAAAAAAAAGGGCCGGATTCCTGGAAAAATTAAGAATTCAAGACAAAAAAAGGAGGAAGAGGCCGTCAGAAGTGCATCCAAATAACTAAGATACCAACTTCAGAACTATCATTGGCTGTCTATCTCTTCTCATACAGAATACTTTTTGTCAAATCTTGCTCATGCAAATGCCTGGCACATTTGCCTTTAAAGCATAAACGATACCTGACAGTAAATACTTCTGAAGCCTTTTGAGATTTTTGATGTGATAGTCACTAAAAATGCCTGTTTTTTTTGTGTTGTTTTTACTCAGCGCTGAAATTCAGCTCAGATTGAAAGCTCCTCAATTTACTGTCATACTGACAAACGTAATAACTTAATGCAGTCCCCAAAATCCAAATGTTCTTGCTCGGTGCAACCAGACTGCAGGGGTGTCGGGAACAATTAGACACGTGCCTTCTGGAGGAGATTGAGCCAATTTATGTACAGAAGTAAAGCTACAAACCAGAGTGCCAAATCAACAGGCAGCCCACACACCCGACTACACCCATGCCTTCTCCTGATTATTCTCACCCAGTTGTCAATTTGGTGTGAGAAAAAGACCAAAGGAGAAATGGCAAGTTAAAGATAACAGCCCACACAGCAGCTCAACAAATTTTCCACGTGTATTGATTTGGGGAAATATGAACAGTAATTTTCTGTGGACTGCATGGGCAACACTGAGATGAATATTCAAGGTGTGGAGTGAGCTGGAGAGTGGCATTAGATTGGCTCATTTGGAGGAAAAAACAGCGCAACTTGTTAGGCTATAATAGGCTTGCTTCAGTGCTGTCACATTCTGCCATGCTATAAAACTGCAGAAAGAGTATAATCATACAACTTGGAAAGGCTAAAAGCATATTGGAGAGTCTAACTGAGCTCCTATTGTTGAAGCCAATTTTCAGCCTACAGTGCCGAGATTTTAAAGATATTCCTACGAAGCCTTTGCTGGCACATATGTCAGGTTTGACAATGTATTCCATTACAGTCTCTGGTGAAGGTTTAAGACCCACCAGGGAATACAATGGGGTCAAAGGACAGACACGATTGTTAGTGAGACACTGTCGGAGAGATCGAGGTTGAAAAGAAAGAACTTGCATTTTTACAATTTGTGTCGTAACTAAATGCTCTTCTCAAAAAAACTGTCAAGTGTAGTGACCATACTTGTTGGAAAGATGGCAAGCTTCTCAGACTGAGCTCAAGTCCCAATGTGGGGGCTTGAACGCACAATCGTCTAGACCAGAGGCAAGAGTGTGATCAATTGAGCCAATCTTCACTGACTAAAGTAATGAGTTAAGATGCAATCCAATAAATGAGGGTGAAGAGAAAAAGTTAGCAGATGATGGAAAATATCTCCAATCTTCCTGCTGGGATTCAGCAGTAGCATCTACGACCTCACGTGATAAGACCTACCAGAGCTAATACATGAAAGGATTATTATTTATTATTTACCACATACAACTACCAAGTAAAGACTTCAAAGTACAGTAGCAACACTAGCACCTCATGAAAGGTATATATCTCGAGGTTTATTAACCATATCCAGGCTTGTATCTAGGTTTGCTAAACCAAAGCATACACAGTGCCCCAACCCATATAATCTTAATGGTATGAGTGGGCAGCAGAGGTGAGATGGCATAGGTGCCTTGGATAGAACCAGAGGGTCGTGCTCTGCCACTGTCGAGCGATCTGGGACTCTACCCTACATGAAGGGTGCTATATAAATGCAAGTTGTTGTTGAGGGAACAAGTGCAGCACCTCCGCTGCTTTCAAATAAAACGGAAGGAGGGTAAGGTAAAGGCACCCGGGTAGTGCTTTGTTTGAAAGAATACAAAGTTGAATACTCACCTCATCCGGAGTCTCTTTAGCTTCAGGCTGGTTCGGGGCGACACGTCGTGCCAAGGCGCCAGCGCGGATGTTGCTGAGGTTGATCTGGCGCTCGGGAGGGGGTCCACCGCGTGGCTGCCCTCGCACAATGATTGCACCACCTGAGAGAACCTGTAACAGAAAAATCCAGAAATACACATTAGAAACACGGGCTGGGTCTGAAGAGAGCAGCGTACATTCTTGAGACGGGAGGGGAGAAAGAGTAGGAATTGTGTAGGAGTTCTCAATCTGTCTGTCTCGTCACTCTGGGGAGAGAGAGCGAGCGGCCAGACCTGGTACCACGCTGGGTGGAAGGGAGAGATGAAAGGCATCCATCCACAGGCTCAACTACATTTAGTCAGTAAATAGTCCTGAGGTCTGGGTGTAAAGATGCTGTTTACATGCGATCGGGGAGGAAAAGACCACATAAAAAGAAAAATTAACAGAGAACTGTGAATAGAGAACTCACTGCAATGACACCATTGTACTTCACTGGGTTTCCTCAGTATTTGGTCACTGCTTTACTGATGCTAATTTCTGATTCAATAAAACTCACAAGGTCTCATATACAACAGGTTATAATAAAAGAACAAAATTAGAGGCTTTTATCTTGAGGATCAAACCGCCTGAGTTTGCAGATCGTACAAAGAACTGCTCAATCATCCATTTATACAAGTACACAACGTCAACCCGCATTGCCTTCAACATCACCTCAGTTGGTTCTACGTCTGCTTGAAACGTGCCATTCCACATCACTTTCTGCTGTTCCCAAAACACAAGACAACTACCTACCTGAACAACAGCAAAGCATCGACACGGCAGATACGCAGTGAGGTTCTAAATCGGCTAATCACAAAAGCACTATATGTCAATAGGTCTCAGGCGGGTTGGCTATTAGAACTCTGCTTCGACACTAGTTCCAATGGGTCAACTCGATTATTTTTGTAACTCCAGTAATATAGACCTCGTTATAGCAAAATGCAAGAGGAAAATCCAGGCTGCTCTCATGCAGTTGCAATAGGAGAACAGTCTGTGAGAAATGGCCTTTTATTTCAGTGGGATGCAGCGAGGAGGAGCTTCAGAAGAGGGCAGAACTGAATTGGAGGAGCAGTATATAATTTAGCTCACTCAAGGAAGGCTGTTGCTCGGCAGCTGAAAGCAGTTGTTGGGACACAATTGGAGCTTAATGGAGGGGTGAAACAGGAGGCAAGATGGAAGGCTGACAAACAACACTTTCTTATAAAATTATACACCAGGCGGAGTGTCACACAGCAACCCAGAAGGCAATATTATACAGTATATTCTGTGAAGCACTTTGAGACTTCTCGAAGACGTGATAAGGCCCTATATCAACAAAATTACATTCGGGAGGACATCCCAAGGCGCTGGACAGTCAGTATTTCGGACCTGAGCTGGGGGCTCGGGACTGGGGAGGGTGGAGGGCAGGGGGTGATTGAGAACACGGTCGAAGAGGAGGGTCTTAAAGGAGGCAAGGGAGGGGGCGCGAGCGGAGGGATTGCGGGATCGAGTTCCAGATGGGAGCAGAGTGACAGAGTGGGTGAGGCGGGGGACGAGAAGCAGGTCAGAGCCCACTGAGCAGAGAGGGTGGTAGGGGGTTAGGAGGTTGCAGAGGTATAGGGGAGCAAGGCCATGGAGGGCTTGGAAGGTGAGGACCAGGATCTTGAACTGTATCCTCTGTGTAATGGGAAGCCAGTGGAGTTGGGCGAGGATGCAAGGATTATTATAGTTATTAATTATTGTTATTACACTTATCCAGACCTAGAAACGCAAAGCAATGGAAAGAGCAAAATGACTGAATGTTTCACGTATCACATCAAAACTTTTAACACGTGTTCCTGGTTTGCTGGAGATTCACAGCACATTAGGTTTTTATTTCTGACCTCTCCGGTAATTGCAATTTCTCTTTTTAAATGTCCACAAGCATTAATAAGTTAGCGTACTAGGGAGTCATGTGAGACGATTAGTGAAATACACCAGATTTCAGCACAGGGAAGATTATACACTGGAAAAAAATCCACCCTAAGTAAATTGGAGTCCTGTAGCTTTGTGTAAAGAAATTCTTCCTGGTGTCTGCTCTCAGTGTGTCCTTCACCCCTGAACATCTGCCCTGCTCGTCACTGAAGGCTTAACTGAAATTCCTTCATGTCCTCACCATGTGGGGAATTTGCTGTCTTGGTCATGTCATGCTGAACTGATTGAACGATCTTAGTACTCGGCAGCTTTGGAATGATAGTTATTTTAATACAGGTAATTGGGGAAAGCATTATCCCTGGAAATACAAACTTGCTGGAACAGCGGTTCCTGAATATCTTGTTTGTTTAGTTCCCTCTGGTCCTATACAGTCTACTGATGTATGGGTAGTGAAAATTGCTATCATCAGCCTATTTGGATACAAGAGTAGTTTATTAATGATAATAATGTCTTTGCATTTGATATAGCATTTCGCCCTGCGAACACAGGTCACTCGCTTGTGAGAATATATAAGATATATACCCACAACAGTAGCTAGTGCCAGGTGAATGGCAGATTCTACAGCTCTCTATGGCAGGATGCATCACATCCACTCCCTAATTTATTCTCCTGCTCTCCAGATATGCTGCATAGAGACCTGTGCATGTCGCTTAACTTTCTTCTGAAGCAGCTTGAAATCCACTTCATCCTCCTCCACTCCGACCTAAGGGGAAGTGTTAAAAAGCACTGATGTTCCTTCAGAATCGCAGGAGCTTTATAATAATGTGACTCACACACCCACATGCAAGTGCCTTGCTGAACTGAAAACATTTAGCTCAGTTAACTGCGCAATTGCTATCTACAACTCCAGCATGAGGGGTATTGTGGAGTCCTGTAGCTTAATGGTTAGACCACTTGCCTGACAAGCGAGAGGACCGGTGTTCGATTCCCAGGCCGGGTGAAATGTTGAGCAAGTTTCCTTGCTCTACACACCTCTGTTTACCCAGTAGTAAGTAGGAACCTGCTTGCTAGTCGATTGGCAGATCGTTTTTCCGGGGGGAATTATCTCTTCAAAAAATAAAAAATATTTTGGACACTCAATCCACGACTGTTTGTGGGACGCTGTTGTGCACATTGGCTGCCGCATTTCGCCCAAAAAATATACAATCAATTCACTTTACAGTACATTCTGTGAAGTGGTTGGAGATGTCTCAAAGATGCGATAAGGCACTATATCAAATGCAGGGATTATTATTACTACATTATAAAAGCAGTCTCATTGCCTATTGTTCACCTTCAATAAATTTCCAGTTTCTGTCTCAGATGTTGAGAAGTAAAGAGAGACTAGAAAGACCTGGAGTTTGCAGACTTGGAAGACAGTCTTCCCTGGTGTGCAACATGGCAGGAAGAGGGAGGTGAGCTGGAGAAAGAAAAATGTCGATCTCTCTTTCTAAAGCACTTCACAGATAATTGCTCTCAAGTATAATCTAACCAGCAGCAATTCTCCTAAATTCACAAACAGCCTTTGAGGTGGACAATTACACTGGAGGGCTTTTGTTGAATACCATTAGTTTCACAGGTTGAAGAATAGGGTTATTCATGTCTCAACTGAAAGATGACAGCTGAATGAGAAGAAATTTTGAATCCCCAGTAACTGGTCTGCCCTTCCAAATCCTGCGATGAGCAAAGTTGGCTGTGCTGTCATTAGTACTGAGGACCCGCCTGACTCGGGAAACAGACTAGATTCTGACGTTCCACTGCCAAAGATGTTACCTTGAAGTCAAGGAGGATAGTCACTAGTTGGTCATTTGACATCCGACAAGCACGGGTTTGAGCCCTCACAAGGTGGATGATAGGTACCAGGAACTCCTGGTGGGCAAACGCAGCTCAGCATGAAATGTGTGAGAGCATTGCCACCATCTTCCTGCCCACAGCTCAGACACATCCCTTCCAATTGAGCGATGGTTCTACCAGTTGTGGTGCAGAGTTTGAGCAGCTTACCTCTCTGCAAACCAATCAAGGTACGAACATGTTTTCACAAATCTGGGTTCCAGGTAATGCCTTCCAGCAGCTGCTACCCCAATCCTCAAAATTTCCTCATCAGCTATCTGATGGACATCTGCCCAATGTATGGTGGGAGGACATCTACAGTACAGCTTGTGAAGTGCCAGCCACCTTGAATGTTCTCGAAGACCAAATGCAATGCTGCCTACCAGGTTTACTCAGCTCCAGCTGCTTAATTCGGGTCCTCATGCAAAAGGCCTTGGCAAATAGACAAATCCAACACACTGCTTATAACAATAATAATCTTTGCATTTGTTATAGCGCTTTTCATGTCTTCTAGCCATCTCAAAGTACTTCAGAGAATATACTGTAAAGTGAATTGACTGCATGTTTGCGGGCGAAACACGGCAGCCAATTGTGCACAGCAGCGTCCCACAAACAGTCGTGGATTGAAATGACCAATTTTATTATTATTTATTTTTCTTGAGGGATTATTATCAGGAGTGTGGAGTAAGAAACTTGCCCACGGTTTGGCCCTGACCTGCCGGGAATCAAGCCCAAGTCTCTCGCTTGCGAAGCGAGTGCTCTAACTACTGAGCTACTTGCTTGATCCTGGACTGCACAAATGGGCCAAAGGAACTCTCTCTGCTGGACTCCCCGGGCACTCAAAACTCTAAAGGAAAATCCCTTTCTAAATCTATGGAAAAGACTGGTTAAAGATTCAGAAGTCGATAAAGAGCTTGAGTGGACATTAAATGAGATTAGAAGAGATCAGCCAAGAAAAGCACAGGAACATGTACTGAAAGTAGACGGCAGTGTGGGAGTGAGCAGAAGAGCGGAATTACATTAGATGGTTTATGTTGAGATAAAAAGAAACCGGTGTAAATCTGATAAGTCAGAAAGGTCCATTTCTGTACTGTAATATTCCATGAGCTTATGAAACGAGCAAACACTACACAAGGATTGAACCCACAACCTTCTAACAGGGAGGCAAGAATCCTAACAACTGAGCCAAGCTGACTCCCAAGTGTAAATACTATGCATTGTAAAACATCTATCGAGGTGCAAACAGCTCCAGATTCAAGCCTTGCATTTATATAGTGCCCCCCATGCAGGGTAGCGTCCCAGAGCACTCGACAGTTGCAGAGCATGATGCCGAGCTGTGGGGGTGGTGGGTAGGTGACCATAGGCAATGGGATTGGGGAGTAATCAGGTCAAAGAGATAGGGAGATGTCAGGACATGAAGTTTACGCTGAGTTAACCAATCTCAACCAGTTGTCACAAGAGAGGGAATAATCAGCCGGGACCCCACTTCTTTCAGTGGCCTCTGCAGCAAAATACACACACGGATGTCACGAGAAAGATCAAAGTGGGCTCAACAAGAACACTACCATCAAGACGTAGATTGGGCATTACACTAGAGGACGAGGATCACCCGGAACTGAACAGCCTGGGCACAAACTTCTCAATAATCCATTAACTATGCCCAGTTTTTTTTAAAAAAACAATACACAGTATTATGAAGGGAGTGGAAGTGGCCGATGGCGTGGTCAAAGAGGAGAGCCTTGAGGCTGGACTTGAAGGAGGCTAAGGAGGGGGTGAGGCAGAGTGACTGGGGGATGGAATTCCAGAGGTTGGGGGTAGTGTCTGAATGCTCTCCCGCCAATGGTGGGGCGGGGGACGTGGAGCAGCCAGAGCCGGCTGAGCGGAGGGAGCGGGCGGGCTGGTAGGGGGTTAGGTCGCAGAGGTAGGGTGGGGCGAGACCATGGAGGGCTTTGTATGTGAGGACCAGGATCTTGAACTGGATCCTCTGAAGGATAGGGAGCCAATGGAGTCGGGCGAGAGTGGGGGAGACGGGGTCATGGAGTTTGGTGCGGGAGAGGACACGGGCTGCAGAGTTCAGGATTATCTGCAGCTGTGGAGGGAGGAGTTGGGAAGGCCGACAAGCAGGGCCTTTGCATAGTCGAGCCTGGAGGTGATGAAGGCATGAACAAGTTTCAGCGCCTGAGGGATGAGGTAGTGGCGGAGTCGGGCGATGTTACGGAGATGAGGGAAGGCAGAGCGGGTCATGACTTGAATGTGGGGGAGAAGACAGTTGTAGTGAGCAACCATGGAGGGTGATGCTTCCAGAGCCTGAGGTGCGGAGCCGCTGGCACGAGCCAATCAGCAGGGCCTCAGTCTTGTTCACATTAAACTGTAGGAAATTTGCCCTCATTCAGGACTTGGTGTCTGACAGATAGTCTGTCAGGACAGCAGTGGGTCTGGAGTTGAGTGTGGGGGCAGAAAGATAGAGTTGGGTGTCATCCGCGTACATGTGGAAGTTGACCCCATGTCTGCAGATGATGTGACCAAAGGGGAGCATGTAGATATTAAAGAGGAGAGGGCCAAGGACACAGCCCTGAGGGACGCCAGACATGACAGTGCGAGGGCTGGAGGAGAAACCGTTAGAGGCAACAAAGTGGAGACGGTGAGAGATAGGAATCGAACCAGGCAAGTGCACATCCGTGAAGATAAAGTAAAGCGGAGAGGCGGTGTATGAGGATGGAGTGGTCAACAGTGTCGAATGCAGCAGAGAGGTCGAGGAAGTCAAGGAGGCAGAGGGAGCCCTGATCACAGATGTTCAGAATGTCATTAGTGACTGTGACCAGAGCTGTTTCCGTGCTGTGGGCAGCGCGGAAGCCGGATTGGAGGGGATCAAAGAGGGAATGGCGAGAAAGAAAGGAGCGGAGCTGGGATAGGAGAGGGCCCAGAAAGGTGGAGCTGGGAGACGAGGAGAGAGGTGGGGATGGGATCGAGGGAGCAGGTGGTGGGTTTGAGTTTGCGGACAGTCGTGGTGAGGGAGGAGGGAGAGATAGGGTCAAAGGAGTATAGGGGGGGATGGGTGGGGGGGTGGCTGTGGACGGGTCTGAGGTGGCTGAACATAACCCCTTGATTTTAGATTCGAGGAAGTCCAGCTTCTTCTCACAAGATTTTTAAAATTTATAACAACATTTTTGTTGTGGGCAAAACGATAAAAGTTTTTTTTTTTTTTTTTAAATTTCAAGGACCGCGTAAGTTTATTTTAAAAAAACGTAACTGCGTTTAAAAATAACCGCACGCATGTAAATCCTCCCGTTAACTTTGGGGCGTTTTAAGCTCTGCAGGTGGGAGTTAAATCTGGGCAACCACATGTTGCTCGTGACCAGTCAGCATTACTTTACACGTGTTTTAAAAGTTCAGGATTGCTTTCTGCAGATCAATTAATTCGTAAATCAATCCCAAATGCTCAAGAGAGAAAGCAAATGGTCGGTTTTGTTTTTAAAAAAAAGCCACTGAAGTTGTTCCTTCTTCCCCCTCACACCCCCCCTCCTCCTCCTCCTCCTCCTCCCTCCCCTCCTGCAAGAAACGCTTCTGCCTGAACCAGGGACCAAAGTCAGAAAAGCATTGCAACAGTTGGGGAAAAAAAAACACAGCGGCGGCGGTTAAATTATAACCAGAGGCAGATTTCTCCCGGCGAAAAAAAAACACACACACGCACACACGACGTGGACAGGCAAGAAAGCAAGAAAGGTGACAGATTGATCGGCGGGACTGGAAGATCAGAATACAAGTCTCTGAAAGAAGACGCTTTCGTGTGACAGATCAGCGTCCGCGTGGGTGAGAGAGAGAGAGAGAGAGTTTGTTTGCTGCCAGGAGAGGCCAGATTTACCAAGCGAGCCCCCTAGTGCCCTCCCTCCCTCCCCCACTACTGACTAACTTAGCATACGTGGCTCATTCGTGGCCCACTCAGCTGTGGCCCCCTCTCACACTCCATACCTCTCCCCTGGGGAGGTGATAGAGAACACACACACACACACACGCACACGCTCTCACACACTATAAAGAGCCATCTTCTCTCTCTCTCTCTCGCTCCCAAACCCTCTTTGAAGTACCGTATCTAGGAAACGACTTTCTTGGGAAGCGATACAGACACTCACCGTCTGCATCACACCCCCCAACACCCCCCCACCACACACTCCCACACACACCGTTAAAGAGCCAGTTTCACTCTCTCTCCCAAACTCAACTGAATTACTGTAACTGGGAACAACTTTTCTTTCTCTCTCTCTCTCTCGCTCCTCCAAGAACTTTCTTTGGCTCCTACCCCCCCCCCCACTCCCCCCTCTCTCTCCCCCCCCCCACCCCGCGTGCGGCAAGTCGCCACAAATTAAGTGTTTGCATTACAAAGTCCACTGACGCACTAACCCCCCCCAAAAAAAGCAGTAGCCCACCATCGACGACGGGGAAGGGGGGAGCAGCAGAGTGACCGACACACACAGACACACACACAGTGGGGGGGGTGGGGGGGGGGTCAAGCGCTGGTGAGAAACCTGAGTCTTCAAAAGAGGGGGAAAGAGAATGAAACACGGGTTTAAATTAAACCCCCACCAACCCCCCACCCCCCCACCCACACACACACCCCCACCCCACACCCCCCCCCCCCCACACACACCCCCCACCAACCCCCACCCCACACCCCCCCCCCACACCACACACACACCCCCTCTCAAAAATAGATGTTTTTTGAGGCACAGAAGGAGAAGGAAAAAACGCCCAATTGTGCGTGAAACCCGCCTAAACCCGCCCGCTTGTGCGTGCATTTCGCCTACATCCGCCCCATTGGGCGTGAAGTCCGCCCCTTAAACCCGCCCAATCTGGCCACATTGCACAGAGAGAGAGAGAGAGAGACACACACACACACAGACAGACAGAGACACACAGACACAGACAGACACACACACACAGACTTGGGACAGGAAAGTTGAACCCGAGCGCGGCTGCAGTGCAGGCGCCGAGGAGAGGGCGGAGGTGGCGCACTCCTCGGGAGCTGAGGGCACTTTTCTTGAACTCCTGACCAGAGGGGAGGGCTTCTCTTGCCCCCTCTCCGGCTCCCGCTCCCTCCTCCTCCTCCTCAGCAGCAGCAGCGGCGGCGGCTCGTGGCGGGTCTCCCTCAGAGCCGTTTTTTTTCCCCCTCTCTCTCTCCTCAGGAGTCCGCAAGTCGTCGTCGCTGCTGCTGCTCTCTCCCTCTCTCGTCCTCCCTCCACCCTCCGCCATCTCCTCACCAGCTTGACAATCCCCCGCTGGAGCTGCAGCGCCGGTGCCTGTTGCGCTTGGCTTTGAGCCGCTGCTGCCGTCGACATCGTTTCTCCCTCTCTCTCTCTCTCTCGCGTTTACGAGCGACCGACCGTTGGAAAGCCGAGTGAACCGGAAATGGAAAGCGAGCGGGAAGAGCTGAGGAGCCGGACGGGAGGGGGGGGAAGGGGAGGGGCCGATGACTGCTTCCGGGGCAGCTGGCCTCGCTCGCCCCAGCGACACGTCATGGCTACCTGGGGTCGGTGGACACGTCACTGCGGCCGGAGCCACGCCCCTCCCCCCCCTTGCCACCTTGGGCGGGTTTCACGCCCCGTTGGGCGGATTTGCTGGTCATTGGGCGTGAAGCGACAGCTTTGGGCGGGAGACTTAATTTTCTTTAAAAATTCATTTTAAGACCTCTGAAACTCCACGCCTTCTCACACACACTTTGAGGACCTTCTCCTTACACCGTTTGCGCAGCGCCGCACTGTCCTGAATTGGCCACTCCGCTGCCTGTAAGAGATTTAAAAGACGTGACATTGGGGCTACTTTTGGGGCTACTCTTTGTCGGGTGCGACTTTGGGCGACAATTGTAATTTAATTTTCTGGGTCAAAACTCCCGGGTTGTTGGCGTCTCTCCTCTGGACACGTCAGCCGGAGATTGAGTGGCGCCGGCGACCACCGCCGCCACCACAACAACAACAAGATTACATGTGTACAGCGCCTTTCACGTCGGGAGAACGTCCCAAGGCGCTGGACAGACAACAGCATTTCAGACTCGAAGGGAGAGGGGAGGGGAGAGGGAAGTGGCCGATGGCGTGGTCAAAGAGAGGGTCTTGAGGCTGGACTTGAAGGAGGCTAAGGAGGGAGCGAGGCGGAATGACTGGGAGATGGAGTTCCAGAGGTTGGGGACAGAGTGGCTGAATGCTCTCCCGCCAATGGTGGGGCGGGTGGGTCGGGGGACGTGGAGCAGCCGGAGTCGGCTGAGCGGAGGGAGCGGGCGGGTTGGTAGGGGGTTAGGAGGTCACAGGGGTAGGGTGGGGAGAGGCCATGGAGGGCTTTGTATGTGAGGACCAGGATCTTGAACTGGATCCTCTGAAGGATAGGGAGCCAATGGAATCGGGCGAGAGTGGGGGAGATGGGGTCACGGAGTTTGGTGCGGGAGAGGACACGGGCTGCAGAGTTCTGGATTATCTGCAGTCTGGAGGGAGGAGTTGGGAAGGCCGACAAGCAGGGCCTTTGCATAGTCGAGCCTGGAGGTGATGAAAGCATGAACAAGAGTTTCAGCGCCTGAGGGTGAGGTAGTGGCAGAGTCGGGCGATGTTACGGAGGTGAGGGAAGGCAGAGCGGGTCATGGCTTGAATGGAGGGGAGAAAAGACCCCCAGGTTCCTGACTGGCTTGGTCAGTTGAAGTGTGCAACCATGGAGGTCGATGCTGCCGGAGCCTGAGGTGCGGAGCCGCTGGCACGAGCCAATCAGGAGGGCCTCAGTCTTGTTCACATTCAACTGTAGGAAATTTGCCCTCATCCAGGACTTGATGTACGACAGCAGTCTGTCAGGACAGCAGTGGGTCTGGAGTTGAGGGTGGGGGCAGACAGACAGTCTGTCAGGACAGCAGTGGTTCTGGAGTTGAGGGTGGGGACAGAAAGATTGGAAGTTGACCCCCATGTCTGCGGATGACGTCACCAAGGAGGAGCATGTAGGTATTAAAGAGGAGAGGGCCACATGGTGGAGTCTGCGAGTTAAGGTGACCCTAGTTGGTGAACCAAATCCGGGCACAAGTATATATTTTGCCCCAAAAAACACACAGCAGATTCATCTTAAAGCGTATCCCGTGAAGCGCTTTGAGACGTCTCGAAGACATCATCAGGCTCTATATCAAATGCAAGGATTATTATTCATATATTAATTCCTGATGCTGGTGGTTACTGGGGAAACTTGTTGGATTGACGGCTGTGTTTCTCTGATGAGTTTTAATAATAATTATAAAAATAATAATCCTTACATTTGACGCAGCGTCTCATCAGGTCATTGAGACATCTCAAAGCGCTTCACAGGATATACTGTAAAGTGAATTGACTGAATATTGTGGGCGAAACGCAGCAATTGCGCACAGCAGCGTCCCACACGCAGTCATAGATTGCGATTTGGTTTTTAATGAATTGTAATAACCAGAAAAGTAACTCAAAGCCAAATATCACACCCTCCCTCTCCCCTCTGCATCCACCTTTGCATTTGGAAGAAGTTAGTAGACAGCTGCTGAAGTTGGTAGAATGTCAGTTATATCTTGAATTATCCAGATTACAAACACAATAAAACACATGGAGCTGTATTTATTCTGAATGGAAAACATCAAAACAGTACATATTAAATCAACATGGGTCAGTACCACACAGATGCTCCTAATTCTCTTATTATTAGTTTGTAGGAGTCCTGGACAACAGCAACAACAACTTGTGTTTAGATACAGTAAACCTCACATGTCAGTTGGGACCGTACATTTAATATGACTAATGCAAAGAATGCGTTATGTCAAACTTATATAGATTAGAAAGTCTTGATCGGGATTTGGGCAGATGGACGACTTCGGCGATTATGTGATTTATACTGATCAGACTTATGTGAGTTTTACTGTAGTACTCCTCAGGTAGGACAACATCTTGGAGCAAGTCACAAGATTGGTGTCAGATGCAGAGCAGGGGAGTGGGAGGAGGTGACTAAATGTGTTTGAAGAGGTAAGTTTTTAGGCAGGGTTTGAAAATAGATGTAGAGACGGTCAAGTTGATGATTAGCACTTTAGTAATTCTTCATTTGAATTAAACACAAACAGCCCAAAACATAAACAAAAATGCTCCCAAATGTCGGATATATGCTCTCGTGATAAGGAGATCAAACTGAACTTGGATGGCTGTTGGTAAAAGTCAATGTTTTCTATTGGTTTCAGAATCAGTGAACTCCGGCCCGCGTCACGTCCCCCGCCTCGCCCGCCCCCACCATTGGCAGGCGGTCCTTCTACCATTCCGACCCCACCCTCTGGAACTCCATCCCGCAGTCCCTCCACCTCGCCCCCTCCCTTGCCTCCTTCAAGACCTATTAGAAGACCATCCTCTTCGACCGTGCTTTCAACTCCCTCCTCCCCTGCCCCCCCCACCCGCCACCCCGATCCAAAACACTGACTGTCCAGCACCACGGGATGTCCTCCCGATGTGAAAGGCGCTCTACAATTGTAATTTTGTTGTTCTTGTTGTTGAATCCAGCTTCTGATCCAAGATCCAGCATCCACATTCGTTTGGGGGAGAGCGTTGTTGCGTAAAAAGTACCATCTGATTTCACTCCTAAATGCCCTAATTCCCATTTTAAGATTATGCCCCCTTGTTATGGATTAAAATTATTAAGGTAAAATGACTGCTGCACATACACAGTCATTTGACAATAATTGCCTTTGAAGCACTTTGAATGTTTGACATTATAGACGCTGAATCAAATGCATTTTATTTTACATATAGCAGTAATGCATAAGTACAAACGCAAACTAAATTATGTATTTTGATATGTTAAGACCATATACAACAACAACAAGATTCCATTTATAAAGCGCCTTTCACGTCAGGAGGACGTCCCAAGGCGCTGGGACGTCAATGTAAGGATTACTATTTTATACCCCAATTATTGAGGTTGTACATGAAACCCCACCTAAGCTTTGGGTTTGGTTATCATCTAGAAATACTGTTTCTACAAACAATCCTGTTAGTCATGTCAATAAATAGCGGTCGTGTTTCATGTCAGTTGCATTATTCAGCAGTTTGGCAGCTGTCTTAGAGCGGTAGAGAAAAACATGGAAAAACTGGAAGCAGAATCTGAAATAAAAACATAAGAATTTGCTGGCGAAAGAAGACCAAGGTCTATCTAGTTTGCCTCCCACCATCCTGGCAGTCACTTGACATGTTGTGTCCCAAACTATATACTGTATCCCCGGATATTATTCCCTAACAAATCCATTTCATTTATTCTTGAAACAAACAACATTTTCTGCTTCCACCGTCTCCCTAGGGAGCCTGTTCCAAAAGTTTACTGCTGGCTCACTCACTTGAAGTAGTGTTTCCGCAGAATTTACCCCTTCAGTCGCAGTCCATGTCCTCTTGTTCTACTGTTCAGTACAAGATGAAACAGCTTATCGTGGTCTACATTATCTAGTCCCTCTCAGAATCTTGAACATTGTTCAGGGTGATCCAATTGATGTGTTCAGATCAATGAAGGATTTGAAAAGGGAGTAGAAAAGATCTGAACCACTCAACAAAAGGGGGTCAGGCTAACATAACATTATCCATGTGCAATTCAATTATCCAGATGCTGTCAAGATTTCATCAAATGTCAATTATAGAAAAATGACCATAAGGGAGTCAATACACAACTGTAACCATTCAATTAAGGGACTATAACTAGCGCCGTTACTAATCACTCCACAATAACTGGAGTACAATAATAATAAACACAATAATATTAATAATCCTTGCATTTGATATAGCGCTTTTCACGTCTTCGAGACGTCTCAAAACGCTTCACAGAATATACTGTAAAGTGAATTGACTGTATGTGTTGTTGGTGAATTGCGCACAGTGAATTGCGCACAGCAGTGTCCCACAAACAGCTGTGGAGTAAGGAAACCTGCCTCAGATTTTGCCCTGACCGGGAATTGAGCCTGGGTCCTCTCTCTTGCAAAATGAGAGCGCTAACCACTTTGTTACAGGACTCCACAAAAATAAGCATAAGAAGCCCCACAAATGATAATAAGCATTACTACTACCCAATATGTTGAAGGAGATTGAAAAAACTAAAAAGGAAATTACTCTTCAAGAGAACATAACTTAAAACTAGAGCTAAACCATGTGAGAGACCAACCAGAAATTTGGTGCATCTTTAATCAATTGCAAGACCTCAAACTGAATAGCCCAATGAGAAGGGATTCTTAGCTACATGGCGAAGGAAAGTAAATGGGATTCAAGACAATCTGGAACAGTTCATCTGATGAGCTGCGAGTCATTGAAGGTTTCTAGTCAATGAGAAGTTAATCAAGTGATGGATTGCATTTTGAGGTCATTTACTAGATGTCAGAAGAATCTATTGTA